TTTTCTAAGTCTATAGAAAAACTAGCTTTCTTATATAATTTCCGCAAGTTATATATAAAAGGCCGCAGTCTTTACTATATAACCTAAACCTTAAAACTACTAAAATAATATGATTTTTAACGAGTATGGCCTGTTATACTATATTATATAGGGAAGATTAATAACTTTACTATTAAGCTAATTAAGTAATATTCGTATCTCTTAAATAGCTTTAGCTAGTATATATTATTATAGCCCTTATTTAATAAAGTAGCTCTATTAATTATTATAGAGGCAGGTTATACTTATAAGAATATAATATATATTAAACCCAAATATATTAAAACTATATATATCCAAGTTCTTATATTATAGGAAAGTAAGTCATCTAGTAATAATAGTAATAGTAATTTAAGTAATAGTAATCCTAATCTCAGTAGTAATAATAACCGGTATTTGAGTAAAGAAAAGCAGGATTTGAGTACGGGAGTAAATATCCTATAAGATCCTATAGATAAGTAGTATTTACTAGTATAGAAGAAAGAGGGCAAGTCTTAGAAATAGATCTTCCTCAAGTTTTCAGGTAAGACTTAATAGGTAATATACTAGCGCTTGAGTATAGTAAAGTACAGAGGTAAGTAGGCTTTCTTATATAGGTAAACAGGCAGTAGCTTAAGTTCTATATACCTACTTGTCCCTTAATATCTGCCGGGACGAATATTAAAGGAACCTTATCCCTCTATTAGCCAGTCGTATTACGGGAGCAGGTATGGTCGAGAGAAGCAGTACTCAAATTGAGGCAAATAAGGGGAATCTAATATATGAGTAAAATACTATAGAAGAAAATAGAAAGGTTATTATCGGAAGCAAATATAAGGCGTATTATCTTTATAGGAAATAATTAGTATATTATACCTGTATATAATAAGTTACGCGTTTATTAATATCCCTGGTATTATTATATTATATAGTTTTCCGTAGTTCCTTTTTAGTAAAAACAAAAGAATCCTATTTATAATACGCCATATAATCCTGACTGCCTTACTTATATATTTACGGACTCCTTTTCCAAATACGTGATTACCTTATTAAATATATTAATTATTCCTCCGTATATAATATTGCGATCTTTGTAGGTTCCCGTAAAAGGTACCAGATCTCGACTGCAAAGAACATTCCTCAACTATATCTCCCCGTCAGGACCGTGGCCGCAGGTCTTTTCCCGCGCCTTTCATTTCTTGCTTCCTCATTAACCGTTTCCGCCGCCTCCGGGATAACTTATTGGATTTTTGACTTTCCTCTCTTTCTTGGTATATAGAGTTGGCAGGCTTTGTATATGCAATACCTAATTTGTTATATCGTATGGAATCGATATCTCGTAGTCGAGTAAGAACTTTATCCGGAAGTACAGAAGTATCCCGGAATAACGTTATCGACTATTCCCTCGAAGGAAGCGAATAGGGAAAGTAGGTATCGAGAAGTTTACGCGCCGTTAGACATTATTTAGGATTACTGGCCAGTATTAATATAATAGGACGACTAGCCGTACGGATTTGGAGATAGTTATACTATCCCTGTCCTATAAGGCGATCTTTTACAAATAAGGGAATAAGAAGATTTTTCTAATAACTTAATAAGTATGGCCTATAATTAGGGCCGGGGGGGAACCTTATATGGACTATTTTCATTTCTAAAGACAGGTAATCTCTAACTTTCTGCTTGAATCGTTTCTCTGGTTTATAGAAAGCCCTGGTAGTATAATAGTCGCTAGTATATATATTAATAATCTTATAAATGGTGTATTGAGACCCGTTACCAAGCTTCTCTAACTTCGAATATTTGATATTATTACCCGGTTCTGGTTAGAAAGGAGTGTTTATCCTCGTATTATAGATACTTAATAGAACGGATTATATATCAAAGTTATAAAACTGGTCAAGAGTCTCTTTATATTATCCGAATCCCTCCTTGGAAAGAAATGACTGCCTCTTTTATATATGAAGTTCTGGATTTTGCACTTTCTATTACTTCAGGAGAAATTCGGTATTACCTTTTCCTCCTATTTGGAAAATCGCCTTGCGGCCTTATAACACGATATATTACCGAGGTTCTTTGTTTAGTAATTGCTTAATCGCATTATTATAACGGAGCGATATATTCCTGTGTTTAGATATATCGTATAGGAGAACTTCTCCGGCTCTTGGATTCTGATAAAAATAATATTAATCCCGCTTCTTCTACTATTCGGGTAGTATAATATTATTATCGGAACTCCCGCCGATACTCAGAAGAATACATTTTTTCCCTTTCCTTGAAGGCAGATTATAACTAGCCTTTAAGGCTTGTTTCAAGGGATTATCCGGGTCCTGTATTATTCGCTCCTTATTGAGATTATACTCGACGATCTCGATAATAGACTAACCGCCGCGAGGATGAAGGGTAAAGACAGTTCCAGATTCGTCCTGGCTTGTAGAAGTATTCGTATCAAACCTGTTGAGCAGTTAGCGGTACTAAATTCAGAGATAATGTTCGATGTATTAGTTCTTATCATATAGCAGTTTTCGCTTCTCATCGATCTCCTTGTGGAGCCGTTCTATTGCGCTCTCGCGCCCTTTACCATAAAGAGGCGGCATGCAAATGCCGACCATGCCTATGAGAGAATATGCCTTGTCTTCTTCGCGCTTGGTTTGTCGTTTATCCGCCCATGATATCCGCACTTCAACTGGGAAAGAAGGCAAGGGCTTTCCGTAGGTTTTCCTTTCTTTCCGCTGCGATCCCCGAGTTGTCTACCCGGATGAGGAAATTCAGGTACTGCGACATCTTTTCAGCAAGAGGTTTGTAGTACCAAGAAGGTGCCGCGATGGGGATGCGAGCTTGATGACAGGGCAAATGCTGATGGGTCATGAGGCCAATGGCGACGAGAGCAACGATCGCGACGGACCGATCACTACGCCAGAGATCCAGGCGTGCGAGGGGCTTGAAGAAGATCCCGATTATGTGAGCGAGGTAGATGGGGTTGAGGAGATGGCGGTGGTAGCGGGATTTAATGGGAGAGATGAAGGTATGTTTAAGGTTGTCCCTAGTATTGTGGCAGCTGCCGTAACCGACGTCGAAGATGAAGATGAAGATGTTATAAGAGCAATAAAAGCGCTATCCACAACATAATCCTGTGTCAACAAGCTGCCAGTCTTGGTACTACTTTTAAGATAGCAATTGGCATACCCATGCGCCTGGCTCGCTTCATACGAGACAGCTGCACAATAGCTCGTCTCCTGGCTATAGCTTACACACTTCCCCATACACCCCTCTATTATATCCTCATAGAATAGCACCATATCATTATAGGGAAAATCCTTCCCACAATACAGCTAAAAAACTGTGCTTCCAATCGAACGGCATTTCGGGCTTCACCCACGAGGCCGAGACGCAATTGCCTCCTTTGTGCTATATCCTATTTTGCCATATCACGTGAACTAGCACGTGCTAACTTCTGACATCACGCCTGTGTTGAACTAGCTAAAGTAAAGCTAGGGTCACGTGCTTGCAATGTAAACCAAGTAAAACGTACTGAATTGACTGCTGTTCTACAGTGGTAAGTAGCCCGTATATATAGCCCTGAACCCCCTAAGTCACATGTACTAAATCCCTATGCCAGCTGAACCGATTACAGCTATATAGGGTATTCCAGCCGTACATGGTATTCCAGCTATATAGGGTATTCCAGCTATACAGGGTATTCCAGCCGTACAGGGTATTCCAGCTATACAGGGTATTCCAGCCGTACAGGGTATTCCAGCTATACAGGGTATTCCAGCTGGACAGGGTATTCCAGCTATACAGGGTATTCCAGCTGGACAGGGTATTAAGCTAGTGCACAGCCCCATGGCGTTCGGTTCCAGGGCTTACTAAGCCTATTAGGGGCCTCAGGCCCCTAATTTCAACAGCCTGCAGACGTTCTCAATACCCCCAAACCCTCCATAACCCAGAAACGAAAGTGATCTGAACCCAGTGCTCCGGTCGGTTCTGATGCTGAAGACGAAGCCAAGTCCAAGAAGTCGAAACCAACCAAGAAAGCAGCATCTGCTAAATCAGCACCTATAAAGAAAGCCCCCGAGGGAAAGAAAGCTACGGAACAGCTATATAAGAAGATACTTGGAGACGTAGACAAGGAAGTCAGCAGTCTAGATGCGTAAGTCAAGAAGCAGGGCCGTAATAGCGTAGTAGTCACATCAGATCACTATGCTAGCGCAATAGTCAAGTTCGTTAAGGACCTCGAGAAGCTTATGGCTATAGGAGCAGACGGGGCGAGATATGTATTTAATGCGATACTCTATATTATTCTATATATAGTAATCTCGAAGCTTCGTTTAAGATATTAGGATATGGCGGGACTAGCCTTTTGCAGATCAGGACGCTACGATACTAGAGATAATCGTATTAAGGGATGATTTCGAATATACTAAGAAGTATAAGGGTATGGAATTGCCTTACGTTAGATATAGATAGACGATAAAGGACGCTGAAGTTGGAGTCTTCAAGACTGGAAGACCGAACAAGTAGTAGAGGGGTGTGACGGCGGGCGCCGCCACATGATCCGTCGGCCAGGTATTAGGAAACAGGACCAAAACACGGGGCTTAGCTAGAGGTCTGGGCGCTACCAGTACTAAAGGTCGAGGTCATCCTCCCTCCTTTACTCTCTAGCTTAGTATTTTCAATACAAGGGATTCTTTGAACTCTGAGCCTTCGACCACTGCATTGATCTCGCCGTCACAAGGGGACAGATCGAGCGACAAAAGGCGAAAGAGAGATTCGAAGAGGCGAGGAAGAGAAGAGAGAAAGTTGGAGACTGGATTGGGAATGTAACTCAGGAATTGAAAGAGGAAGGCGCTGATATTGAAAGGTATGGCTTAGAAGGATATTTCAAGAAGAGCATTGCCAAGCTGGAAGGGCTGCGCGGAGATAGTATCTCTTGAGAGCACGGCGCACGCCAAGTTTGAGAGGAATTGCTGATTCAGAATTCTCTCGTGTGCTGAAGATGCGTCTTTCGTTAGAGTCCATACTCCATAATAGTCTCAGACATCTATTGACGGCCTTACAGAATCTTCTATCAAAACTCAAACTCTGTGTCTTTTTGGTTTCTCATCCTGAATCTGACCTTCACCGTTTCCTTCTCCTCTAGATTTTTCAAGACTTCCGGCGGGGTCTGCTTCAAAGCTACCGTGACAAAGTCAAGCAGATCCCGTGGTACGGTGCGCCTCCATGCCTTTATCACAATTCCAAGTAATACAATCACACACCCAATTAGTGCTACTGCGACCCCCAGCTTGGATGTTACAGACTGCAATCCATACATCCAGGCATATAGAAGGAGGCTGACATTGAGCATTGGAGTAGAAGTTGGCAGTTTGTCGCTCGTAGAGTTGACATCTTCCGTCGCATAGTTAATCAGTGATAAAGCCTGCCCCATGATAATTGCATGGACCTCGGCGAGACCAATGGACTCATCAGACCCCGAGAACTGGAGCGCATCCGCAAGCACTGTTGAGCTGCCGCGATACTCAGGGACTGTGCTGCCGCGATCCACTGACAGGGATGCCAAAACCCAGTCTGGATGAATGAATATGGGGTCATCCGCGGGGTGAATTACATCCTCACCCTGCAGCTCAACAAGGCCAAGGCTAAAAGGATTGTTGCCCGAAGTGTCTAGAATGTAGGTTGAAAGTCGTAGATAGGAGAAGGAAAGACATATCCAAAAGGTAGAGTTGTCAGAGCTGTAGTACTCGGCAACGAGGGGATTGATTGATATATTTCTCATATCGCTTTCGATGTCTGCTGCAAACATGGAGTTCCAGTCACAGGAAGTCGAATTGGTCGCGTTTGTTCCAGTAGCGCAATGATGTGTCGACTGGTTGAGATATATGACTTTTTCCGTCGAGTACACGTTCACCGCGATCGGGTCAGAGGAAGAGTAGTTTGCGACTTGAAATTCGGAGTGTGCGTTGTCTCCTGTCCAGCCGGAGCCAGTGGGCATACACATGGTTGATACATTTTCTTCATTGGAAGTTCCTGATACGGGAAACAGTGTTGGAATGTAGTATCCCGTGAAGTCGTAGCAAAAAACACCCTTGTCGTTAGAAATGTGAACAGCAGATGTAGAAACAGCCGCGAAACAACCTCCAGAAAGGAGGAGAGAGGGGCCCTGGCGGTGAACGATCACTTCCCGAGCATTACTGAGAGCTTGGAAGGTCGACACGCTGAAGTTTGCTAGATCGACGGGTGGATTATAATCCGGATTATAGATAGATGACCATCCATAATAATCATCACTAATGGAGTCCAGGACCTGTCTATTGGGAGCAAGGATATCCCAGAAATCGAAGATTGGGTCCCAGGTGTAATTGAAAACAAACGAGACAAGTTCCTCCGAATTGACAGATGGAATGGTTCCATCTGTCTGTAACAACATCGTGTCAATCTCGCTGGACACGCAGGAATAGTTGCCAGCAGTGAGGTTTGCCAATGTGCACCACCCACTATTGAGGAACTTTGGGTTCATCGGGGGGTCTGTTGACGCCATATCTGTAAACACGCGATATTTCTCGGGTACTCCAACCTCTCTCCACGACAGAGATGGTAAGAGCAACACTGCTGTGACCGGCCCCATCAAGTTACAAACAATACCGATCGCCAATACAAACCCCACAAAAATATACAGGTTGCGTCTACTTGTCGTAGGCTGCAGACTTCTGGTAGCGTCGCTTCTTGGCTGTGGACGAGTCTCAATGCGCGGGATGATAGAAGTCCAAAGTGACGGCTCGAGAAAGGAGCCCAGGTCTGTATAATCAAAGGGGATCTTGAGGTGCCGCATCGGAAGTCCGTCCCCCTTTCCGGCGAGCAATATTGTCAGACCGAAGACCACGACGCCTGCCAGAAACACAAACCATATCTCTAATGCCTTGGCAACCAGCTGAAGAGCGTTGAGTATTTCGTGGTCATGCGACTCGAATTGCTGGCTTCCAGCAGCCTCGACTGCCCAAGGGTCGGCCCTACAGCGTCTGACTCCACAGGACAGATTCGTGCCCACAACATAACTTCTAAAGTTCAACACAGAAACAGCGAGTATCGGAGCCAGCCAACCGAGGGAGAGAAGGAGGTGTGCGAGAGTTCGGAAAAGGTCGGTTCGAGGACTTGATTTCTTTTCTAGTGACACACCAGCATCTGAAGTAGGGTCCCCAGCGCCTGGTAGAATCATTTCTTGTGGAGACTTCTTCTCGAGCATAGACGACATGGTGGGTAGATTCGGAAAGAATGGAGTTTTTATGTCTAGCTGTCTAGCTGAGTGTACGAGTTACCTGGAAGGAAGATGAGAGATGAAAATGCGTCGAATCCTCGGGAGTGACGAGCTTGACATGGAACCTATTAGTTTGGGGGCGAAGAATGATGACGAAATCATTGTGCCAACAGTACAGGAATTGCTAGGGCTATCAGCTCATCTCCGCTCGTTCATGGGCCAATAGCCTCTTGTGCAATACCAGTGCTAATCGATACTGAAGTAAATATCCCAAGTCCACTGCCAATAGGATACAGCGAAACCCGTGGCAAGCCTTCGTCCAATTCTTTTGCGGCACATCACTGGGCGTGCGGGGAAGAGTGGCGTTTAATGCCAGCCTCGAGGTTAGGCTAAAACTGCATTTCGTCTAAAAAAACCTAAAGCGGATCCTCAGCTGAAAACATTCGATACTGCGACGTTACACAATGCACTGACTAATTATCTGATACGTTGCTGCCAGGGGGACGGCTCGGAGCGAGCAGGCCCCAAAGACTGTCGTCGGGTCCTTTTAGCGGTTCTGGGGAGAGTTTAGGAGAGCGTTTCAGGGTATTTGAGCTCTGGGAAAGGATGCCTGGATGCTAGCTTCCCGCCCTTTAGTACATGTCCTTGGACTACTAAGTCCACCAGTCGAATCTGAAGATGCAGTTTGTCTCCAAAGGTAGCTGAACTTTGCCAAGAACATTTTCTACCTTTGTGGTCACATGCATAAACTGGTGCTCCCCACCTTTGGAAATCTGTATTTAGCAGTAGTACTGCTATCCCAACCCGAGAGCCAAAGGGCTGGTCTATTTCGAGGGCCAAGGGACTCACGTTTAAAGCCTCTCTAAAGGGCAACAAGGTTTCAATCTCAGAATTTGAACAGTCTGTCCACTTGCTAGAACTTCATTTTTGGGCAGTCTGCACGCTTTGAAATCAAGATGCTCCAACAGCTCCCCTCCGGCAGCAACTTCGATAGTGTATGTGCTACACTTTTATTCCTAGCCCTATTTTCTATCTCATATCATGCTTTTAACAATCACCTACACCTCCGTCACGTTCCAGGCCCAATCCTCTACAGCCTCACCAAATGGCGGCTCGCCCTCGATGACTACACCGGCACACGCACCCGTAAAATCCACGCCCACCGAAACCACGGCCCAATCGTCCGCATCAAGGCAAGAACCGCGTGATCGTCGCCAGGTTAGGGCATAAGGTAGGTAGAGGTAATAGGTTGAGCCGCATTGTGAGACGAGATACTGGACGGGCAAAAAATGAGGCTGAAACAGGAGATTTTATTGGTTAGAAGTATATTGCCCCGCAGAAGACGGCGTCTAAAACTCTCCCTACTCAGGGATATGCGGCTCTCAATATGGGGCCCGCTGCCTCCCCCGCGTCTCGTTCAAATACAAGCAGAAATCGGGCAAAGGGACTTGGGAAGAAAACCCACTAGGCCATAACCACGTAGTAACTCCAAGTTGACCTTGCTTTGCCGTATTATGGATAGCAAGCCTAGCGAAGGGTAAATTCGTATGGCACGCCGTACTGGTATAGTTGCATATCCCGGTAGTTTAGGCAGTATGTGTCTAGTGCGGCTAAGATATACGGTATTGAGCTGGTTGGAACAAGAGGGGAAACTGAGTACCAAAACTGCCCTTATATCTAAATACCGGGGGGAGTACGAGGATAGACGACTAATGAAGGACCGAAATCGTACGAGTACAGATAAGGGGCAATGCCCGTGCCCGCCCGTACTGTTTCGGCTCGGGCTATACCTCTCCCGGCGGCAAGAAAGAAACATCGGGATCAGGCTTTTCGGTCTTCGGGGGTACTGCGATTTCCCTGCTAGCCAAACGCCTAGACCCTTTAACCGCCCACTTGTAATGTATATCCCTATTAGAATACCAAAATTTTGTGATTTTTTTAAAGTACTTAGAGAATTCTAAAACTTTCTCAGATTAGTATATTAAGGCCGCTAATTATAAATCTAAATTTATTTTTACAATTTTATATTACTATTATAGTAAAATCGTAGTTTGGGCGGTTATTTTTCTAATTTACTAAATATAATTAATATAGGACCGGGGCTTCTATAATTCTCGATACCCATATATATAATATTATTTCTCGATTTTACTTTATATCTTTTATACCTAGCTCTAAAGCTCTATAATTGAAATACCTCCTATTATAATATTAATCGAAACTAATAGTAACTCTTTATCTGCGGATAGTAGCGAATTTAGTAATAACCATAATAAAAAGGGGGTACCGGTATTAGATAATATAGACGAGTGGCGAGGATAGGGCTAGGACTTTATAGGGAAGAATTAGTATAAAGACGTAATAGCTCGCTATAAGGCTATATAGATTATACGAGATAAAGAGAAGGAATATAAAAGGATTAATAAGGAGAAAGTAAATATAATAAGGAAGCTTATTAATATGGATCCTCAAAAGTATAATTATTAAATAAAGATATATAATCTTAGGATATAAAGACTTGCTATACAAGTTAATAATAAATCAAACCCAGTCGAAGTGGTCGTTTAAGGTAATTGGGAGGCGTTTCTTAAAGCTATAACTATAGATAAGTAAACTAATACTCATACGGAGAGTATGAAATTGTCGCAATTATACTCCTATCCTTAGAAGCCCCGCTATAAGAGAACCGTAAAGAGAACCGCCCAAGACCAAAAAGCTGGCAGTAGTAACTAATCTAAACGACCCGCATTAATACTCGCAGAAGCTCTAGTAGATAAGGAGAGAGAATAACGAAAGATAGCCGTAATAAAGCGAGTAAGTCGAAGAATCGCTTATGAACCAGTCCAATATGGCATATTCGCAGAGCCAAGTCATTCGATGCGCAAGCGGAACTCTATAGCCCCTTGTAACCATGTATTACCCAAAAAGTCAATATTAGTCGAGGCTGCAAAGCCTTAAGGGTAGATATACTATTTGAGACCCAGGAAGCAACCTGGAGGCTAAATATACGTATTTGGCGGGTGGAGTATAGAGGAGATAGAGCAGTAGCTATTCTGGTTCTGATAACTGCGTTAACGTAGTATAGAGAAGGAGTTTTAATTTCTTGGTCGTTTCCCCGTATCTCTTTTATGTTTATCTCGTTGCTCCCGTACTTCGTAGTGTTTCTCTTCCCTGTCCTCTCTTCGGCTGCTCCGAGTACCAAATCCAATATGGCTCCTATTAACGTGGTCTTAGATATCCAAAATATATATCTTCCGATTCTAGGAGGTCGATACTGGTAAGGGAATGAAAGAGTCGTGGGAGAAGCTCTTTACCAGACTAGGGAAGGATATCAAGTGGACGGATGTTATTGGCAAGAAGGTTTAGAACCGGGAGTGGAACAGCCCGCAGAACAAAACTTGATCGGTAATCACGTGGTAGCGGCTCTCGGTGGGGACTTATCTGCGAGAAGAGTCCGAATTGCGGTTTCTAGAAAAGTCTACATTTGACTGCAGTCAAAGTATGGTGAATGCCTTCTAAAATCTGACGTTCCAAAAAGAGAGCTGTAATTCGTATCTTACGTGATAGCTATTTTTGGAAGTTGGTGGGGTGGGGTGGCTTCTTTATTTCGCTGGAAGGTCCCCCACAAGAGACGCGAGTTTGTCCTTATTTCACCAGGCTTGACCCCCTTACTCACTCTCATCGACCTCAGCCGAACCGTGTTCACAAGAATCAAATTCAATTTCGCCTGGGCCTTGATCTACAATTTGCTCGCTCTCCCTGTAGCTGCTGGCGCACTATATCCGATCAAGACCAGTGGAGGGCATGTCAGGCTTGATCCTGTGTGGGCCAGTGTAGCTATGGAGTTAAGTAGCCTGAGCGTCGTCTGTAGTAGTCTTCTATTGAGGACGAGGCTGCCGGTTGTGGGTTTCAAACTGGGCGAACAGGGTCTCGATAATAAGCTACGGGTCTTTATTAATTATGTTATATCGAAGGTTTTGGTTTTGTTTTTTATTACTTACTTATATTTTCTGAAGCCTAGTTATTAACTACAATGCAAATAGAGCGTGGTTGAATATTATAGATCCTCTCCCCCTCTCCCCCCTCCCTCCCTCGTCCCCTTCTTTCTCGAGACCGACCTTTTCCACCTTGTCCCCCGTTTTCAAGGAGTCATTTCTTGCCCTCAAAAGATGGCCACCCTCCAAAGGAGGCGTTTCCGGCACCCAACTCTCGAGTCTCAACTGATTATGGCTAACCACTTTCAAGAAGCTATTACTTGCTCAAGCCAGTTCTAGCTATCCCGCTTTAAAGGAAGCCAATCCTTACCCCTGAGAGGCGACCACCATAGGAGGCATTTCTAATAGTCTAATTATTAAGCTAATAATGGCTGTCCCCTTTTAAGAAGCTATTTTTTGCTTAAGCCGGCTCTAATAAGAAGATAAAATTACAAATCAGGCAAGTAAGTAATTTTTTTTGGATTATCTCTAATAAATACTGAGGTTATACTAGTAATGCTATTAGAAAGTCTCTTCCAAGAAGCCCTTTCTTGCAAAGTCAAGTAATTAGTAAAGTATGAATTATTCCTCTAAAAAAGCTATATAAATAAGCGGCTCAAAGGGCATAATCTTGCGAATAGCCAAGACCAGAACTCTCCAGGACTTATACGGACCACTCTCTATATCTTTATTAATATTTTCCCAAGCCAAGTATATATCAGCTTCTCTACCTGGCCGAGTAACCTATATCTGATTTAGGATACCTATTACCTATAAATAATCTAGCCAGAGATATGGCACTGGTCCTGTAATAGACTAGATTATACTATAATACTCGAAGAATTAAATCTTACTAGAGAAGATACCTAAAAAATTGCCTGGAAATATAGAAATAATAGGAAATATACTAAGTAACTTATTAATACTAGATTAAACTAATATAAAAAATAACTTATTTATTCCCGATTTTATATATATATCTTCTATAAGCCATTTAGAAGTATTCTCGATTAAGGTTACTAT